AGTTTATAAAAATTACAATCCTCATTGATATATTAAACAAAAAAAACTTTAACTAATTAATATCTTTTAACATTACAAATAATAATCATAAATTATAACATGAACAAAAACAGTGATTGCATTTATCATATAATGATTATAACTGATAATGATGACAAGAATAATAGTAATAATAATAATGATAATAATAATAATTAATAATAATAATAATGATAATCAATAATTAATAATAATAATAGTGATGATAATAATGATAATTAATTAATAATAATTAATAATAACAATAATAATAATAGTAATAATAATAATAATAATAATAATAATAATAATAATAATAAATGTAATTAAATAAATTATACGAAATATGCAAAAGAAATTTCATTTTGCACTTAACTAAAAGTTCTAGAACTAAAGGTCCGTGTCTTCTTACAGAGTTGAGGATGATATTAGGCATGCTAATTCCCCACTCCCAAATATTGCTTTTTACAAATGTTTAACTGTCAATGGAGAGAAAATGAATATGAAAATAGATGAGGATGACTTGTTTGACTCTATGCTTTAAACAAACAAAATTTTTAGTATATCTTTTTCATGCATGCATTTTTGCATTTCTCTTGAAGTGAATGCATGCATATGAAAACACTTTACTTTCTTTCGCATTTTTTTTAGAATAATCTTTGGACATCCCTTGTAATTAATGAAGTAAGAAAAAAAAGGAGGAAAGGAAAAGATATATTGAAGATATGATCAAGATCGGTGGTAATAAACACCAGTTGGAAAATGATGAAATCAAATATTGAAATTTTAGATCTTAATTAGACTAAATTTACGCTACTAATTCTGATGAAGCTTGCGACAAAAGAATAAAAAGAAAATGCTAAATTTCACTTATTGCATAAGTTGCGAAAAAAAAAGAAAAGGAGGTAACAACCTGTTTGTGATATGTAATCATTCCCGACAGGCTTTAAATTTTTGTCAACTAAACAGGAAAGAATCGAATGATGAAAATTTTATTGATAGCTTTTTTTTCTTTTTTTAATCATTTCTGCGCTAAATATGCTAGAATATAGATGGAATCTCAATTCTTACCTTTCCGTAATAAATCAACAAAATTATGGCAAACAATTTTAAGTTTTTTCTTTCTTCAAGAAATATTTAGCTACAAAACTTTTCTTAAACTTGGTAAATTTTTAGAAAGTTGAATAAAATTTGTCGAAAATAATTCTGGAGAAATGGAAAAAAGGGAAGTAGTTAGCTTTATAAAATTGAGCAATATATGATATGCTATCAGGAAATTTATAGCATAGATTTGTGATTAGAGCAGGGAAAAAGGAAAAAAAGAAGGAAAAGGAAAGAAATCTGGAAGAACATCGATTAAAGTACACAAAATTGAAAGACGAAATTACGGGATTGTTTTTTTTTTAAACGGAAAATTATTGCAAAAGTATTAACTGAAGCTGAAAACGTGAAAAAAGGAAGTATTAGTTGAAATGATTAAAGATTAAAGATTTGAAAGAAAAAGGAAATTTAATTGATCCTTCTGTCACTGACATTTAATGTAAAAAATCAAATACAAGCTTTCGTCACGTCATCATTAAATAAATTTTCTCGCTATATAACGTGATAGAAAATCGGATATGAATACAACCTTCATGAAAAGGCATATTAATTTGTGATCCGTCGGTACTGATGAATTATTTTAGTAGTAAGGATTATTAAATGCAATTAACAAAAATGAAGATGACAATTTTAATACATGCTTGAAAAATTTTTAATATTTATAAGAGAAGAAAAGCTTCGAAACTTGAAAAGTAAATTACTGAAACATTAGAGAAATTCTTTTGAATCACTCATACTGATTAACACAATAACAAGTTTGGAATATAGCATAAATGACAAGAATTATAATTAACTTTTTCAAGAACAGAAATGAGGAAGATGAAGAAGTGCAACTAATGCGGCCATATACAAATAATAACTAGTTTTTATTGCTTAAAATATTTCGATGAATATTAATTCATCTTGTTGGGAATCATTGTTGACTTTAGAAAAAAGACAATTATTAATTAATGTTAAGAAAAAAAATAATTAATAAAACGGAAAAACTGCAAAACGAATGATAAATAAAATCAATATTATATAAGTAAACTTAATAAAATTAATGATAAATAAAATTATTACTCCAATTAATATTACTCACATTTCAAGCATTTATATTAATTTCTTCAAGGAGTAAAAGTATGAAATGAGAGCAAAATTTGAATAATTTCCGTTAATTGATATCTCACAAAAAAAACCTCAGGTTAGTCTTAGGTTATCATCAACTTCTCACGAATTATAGTAAATGGAAGATTTTAATAACTGCTACGCTTTTAATAGTTTTTATAATTATCTTTGTTCATCTTAATATCTTCTCTTTTCCTCTCCCACTTTCTCTCCCTCTCTCTCTCTCTTGATAAATTTCACATCAACATTTCTGGCAAGCATTGGTGTAACTTGATTCAAAATTTGTAATTGAGTTTGAGCGCTATTTGAATTTAATTGAATTATTGCTAATTAACCAGTTAGCTAGCAAAGAATGTACCTGATTCTGTCTTGCTCGAATTGTAGGATGTATACGGAATTGAGTGCTCCCTTCAGTTTTCAACATTTGGTATCGTTTGGATCGTAAATTTGCAACTGTATTGGCACCGGAACGCATTGCCCGTTTGCTACGTTTTGCCCGGGAGATTCGATGATGTTGCTATAAACAGATTTGTTTCCTCTTTTTTCTTTTTTCTATCATTTATGCAAATTTTTGCAATTTTTCATATGAAATTAAATCAGTAAAGAAGATATAACAATGGTAAGCAATATGTTTATCTCGGAAAATGACCACATCAGAAAAGGTTTCCCTATTTGAAATCCGAAAGATGAGAAAGATTCAAGTTGCTTTGTGATGAGTGAAAGATCATAAGTTTGCTGGAAAAAAAGTTATGACTTCCGTATCTTTACTAATAACTTTTGAGCTTCTTCAATTATGGGATTTTTTTGAATCTAAATCTAGGAAACTGCAAATTAAATCTAACTTTTTAATGAGATGCAGAAATCTAATTTGATTCTAAAATTTATTAATTCAACGAATCCCGTTTGTAACAAAATGAATCATAAAAACTTTGCATAAAATGAGAAAAATGTCATCATAATTTGCATCTAACAAGCACAGATACACACACGAATAGAATGTACACATATTTCACGTAGCCCTCCAAAAGTCAAAGATAACTTTTACATTATAATGAAGGAATTTACAAATATGCAAAAAGAATGGATTTGTTTTCGGTCAAAGAGGTTCTTTTTCTTTTTCATCACAAAGAGTATTCCTTTTTCATTAAAAATTGTTAAAAAAAGAAAAAAAAGGAAAAGAAGTGAGGTAATTTCAAAAGTAATTGTAGCAATTAACAGATGATTTTATTCACAAAAAAAGAAACTTCTGATTATTCTAAATTATTCATAACTTTTGAATTTTTAATTTCTCATTAATCCTAATTATTGCGAAAGTATTTAGGTGGAATAACACACACACACAAACACATACATACATACACACACACACACACACACCCACACACACATACAAACACACACATATACATAATGCGTACCAATCCTAACGATCTTTCTTGACTGAGGAATATAGTGAAGAAGAGTAGAAGAGGAATTAACATAGATTGGTCAGAATTAGTTCATCTGTTGCTAACAAAACCAAATCGTAATTCCTTTTACTCATTCAGTTTGGTAGAGTGAATGAATGAATAATTCATAAGATTAATTATAAAATTGTTCATTCGCTCACATTTCATTCATTCGCAATATGTTTGAGCAATTGTAGCAATCATTTTGGTTCATTATAATACTTTCAAATATTAATTTCGACATAAATAAGAAATGGATGAACATCTTATCCCGTTACATTTTCACTTATCTATACTTGAAGAGAAAGAGAAGGAGAGAGAGGGAGGGAGAAAGAGAAAGGATTCTTTTTTAAGGAATTCAATGAGAGCTATTTAAATTTTAAAAATGAAACGAGAGGGAAAAAAAGACAGAAAAGATGGGAATGGGAGAGAAGAAAAGTAGAAAAAAAAAGAACCCTAGAAAGGTGACTGCTACTAGCACGGTTATTGTAGTTGGTGTTGTTGTTATTGTTGTTGTTGTTATTATTATTATTATTATTGTTGTTGTTGTTGTTGTTGCTGTTGCTGTTGCTGTTGTTGTTGCTGTTGTTGTTGATTAGTTGCTCGGAACCATTACTCCCATTGAATCTTTCATCCAGTAGTTCTAAATCGCTCGATTCACTGTTGCTCGTATCAATCCCGAAAAACTGACCATCATTTAATGCTGCTGTAAAAGATGTTCATAATTTGTATTTTTTACAAATGGAACGGAAAAGGACGGAATGGAATGGACTGGGATGGGCTGGGATGTTATGAGATAGGATAGGACTGGAAAAAATGACCTTCCAAAAGAACGGGATGAAATGGAAATGGGAAAGAATGACCACTGGAGCAATAAGGGTAAGAGTAGGGAAGCGAATGGAAGGAATGAATGAATGGAAGAATGCAAACGGGTAAATGGATCGATGAAAAATTATGTTGTAAAATGTCGAAAGCGTTGCTGAAATATAAAAAGAAGCAAAAAGTCACAAAAGTGAATTTAAATAATTTTAAGAGGGGTAATCTTTGAGGGATAATCTTTTCTATTTTCTATTTCTATTTCTCATTCCTTTTCTTTTTGTTTTCATTTTTATATTCTACTCCATCATTTTCTTTTTCTTCTTTCATCATTTGATAATTCTAAGTTTTTGTTTATATTTAGTGTATGTGCTGAAAAGCACATGTCAGGAATATAAATACTTAAATACATGAATGAAATGTTATGGAATTACAGAGATTTCAAAAAAATATTTTATATGCATGCAAAAAAGAAGTTTGAAATTTTGAAATCATTTTTTACAATAAGAAAAGCAGTGAACTTGGAAGATTAAAAAGAAATTTTTACAGAAAAAAAATCGGGAAGTATTTAAGAAAAAAATACCATTCGTGACATGAATTTAAAAAGGAGAAGTTACTTTGACTAATTAATTATTTTTCAGAAATGGAATCGTATCTTCTTCACAATATTTTATTACTTTTGAAATCTTTACTAAGATGGAAAGTATATAAGCTATAATCAATGCCCATTAATTAGTCTATAATACGATGGGACGACTATTAATCAGTCCATAATAAAATAAGAAAAAATAATAAATTTAAAAGATCAGAAAAATTTCATAAAATTTGCTGTTAATTTTGAATTTGAAAGAATCCTCTTGCATTGTGCTTTAATATAACGACAATTCAAATAATAACTTTTTTGATTAAGATTTTCCACAAATTTATTTTAAATTATCCAAAACATTCATTCATTTATTCATTTGTTTGTAATATATACAAAACAATCAAATTTTGGAATGAATAAATAAATATGAACAGATGATAATTTTTACCTGTTGAACTTTCATAAACAGATGACAATTTTTACCTGTTGAACTTTGTCCATTATTAGATGATTGATAAGCGCTTCGATGGCCAAATAATCGTCGCATTTCACAATTTTTCGAGAAAATTTCAATGAAATCACTAATAATTGCTTGTTATTTAACAATATAATCGCTGCTTTCTTAACATTGATCAATCGATTTGAAGTAAAAATAAATAATTATTTTCATCTGTTTCTTTTTCTTTTTTCACGCGTGGATTTATTCCTGCAAAGGAAAACAAATCAAACAAATGCCTCGTTTCTCTTGAAATGTTTATGACAAACTAGCAAAATAGAAGGACAAAAATCACAGGGCTATCATAAAAACAAAAAGATAAAATAATTATTTCAAAGGTAATCGTTTTTTCTTTCATTGTTAATTACAGTAATACATTTTAAAGTCTCATTTATTTCTTAACTCTTCTTTTAGCTAAAATGAATTACTGATCTAAAGATTGAAGATGATTTGATGGTAAGTTGGAAAAGTTGTAAAAATAAGAAAAAGCCACAAATATTGAAATCCCGGGAATTTCGGATATTATAAGTGAATTTAACTTAAGGTTGAAATGTTTGATATTATTAGAATTTAATTGAAAGTATGCATTAAGAGAAAGCAGGAAAAAAAGAGTTTTCCATTCAGTTTCCACTCAGGAAAGAAAAAGTTTTCCACTCAGTTTAAATCACTTGAACTAACCAAAAAGTTAATTAAATATTCTCCTTGCATCAAAAGTGAAATAATTTTTAAAAAAAATGTGAACAGTTAAATTAAAATATGAATAATATGACCATTCATCTGAATAATGCTTTGATTCCGTTAACGATAGCTAACATACATAGAAACACATTCTTAGAGAAAGGTTAATTAAATTTAAAATTTGAGCAGTTGAAAATGAAAATATAACATACATATAAGTTCGGTGGGATTTTAAATAGTATACTTCACTCTAACAATAATTAAATGATTCATTTGAATAGCATTTGTGTTTCTGCAATAATAGCTAATATATACAGAGATATATTTTTAAAAGAAAAAAGCCTAGATTAAAAGTTTAAATAATTACAGTCGCAAATATAATATTGTTTAAGAAAAATTCAAATGATATACCTTATCTTAGCAATAATAATTGAATTAAGATTTATGTAATTAACAAATTTCTTTTATTTTATCATTAATATGTGTCAGCAATAATTAATAAATTAAAACTTTTGCAATTAACAAATCTCTCCTATTTCGTCATTAATGTATCAGCAATAATTAATAAACAAATTGAAACTTATGCAATTAACAAATATCTTATTTCATCATTAACATATATATATATATATAGAAAGGACAAATTTTTATTAAAATTGTTGAGTAAACGTGAATGGCAAAAGTTTTGCATATAGCACAAATCGAGCGAGAATAATTCTTAAAAGATTTAAATCGTATAAGCAAGCTTTTCGCATTTTAGTTGCAGCTGCTATCTTCCTTCTCCTTGCATTGGTGATGGGATAGAAAAATGAATCTAATATACTTTGTGTAAATTAACATGAAGGAAGGAGAGATGGAATGAATGAAAGAATGAAGGAATGAGTGAATGAATGAATGAGAGAATGGATGAATGAATGAATGAGTGAATGGATGAATGAATGAATGAATCTCTCTCTCTCTCTCTCTCTCTCTCTCTCTCTCTCATTCGCTAATTCTTGAATATCCACTAATCGATCATGTCTTCTTTTTCTTCATATATATAACTAGCAACCTGATAAATAATGATGAAGGAAAAGTTGTGACATCCAATCATTATCATTATTATTATCCATTCATTTTCTTCCAGCAAACAAAATAATTTAAAACATAATTCGCTCTTCCTTTCTTTTTTCTCTCCCTTCCTCTCTCTCTCCCTCTCTCTCTACTTCTTCCGTAATTATCCATTTCTAAATTAGATCATTCAATACTTTTGTCATTTTCAAAAAAAATTTTATTGCTGCAATTTTTTTTTTTAAAGAGAAAAAACTAAGAAGTTAATAATGAGAAATAACTATCATTAAATTCTGATTTGGTATTAAAATTTTCACGTGATTAATTTTATACTGTCGTTCATTTCGCATTAATTAATAATTATCAAAATATATTTTTAATTCATTAAAAAGCAAATTTATCAAAAAGATTGTCTTTTTAATAAATCGTTCCTTCTTTCCGTATACAATCCTTTCATTACTTATTGCTAATCAATTCTTATTTATGGCTTATATTGATTGTAATGAAAATTACATACGTGATATTAATAAAAATTCTCGTTATTCTTACCGAAAGAAAAAAAAAACGATTGAAACGTGTATTCACTAAATTTGAAAGCTATTTTGTTACGGGGAAAAATGGTAATTAAATTTATAATTCAATTATTGTACTAATAATAATTAATTCTGTTGCATTATTTACATAATTACTATTTCTATTACAATATTACATTTTTGAAAGTAATTAATGATGTCTTCATTGACAGACAAAATCTAAATAGAACTCATTTTTTATTCATATCTCCCATTCTTCCCCCGCTCACATCATCCACTCGAATTTTGATTAGATATTGATGCAGATGATAGAACATGTACCTACCTATACATATATATGGCATGCATCTATATATAGAGGATAATGGAAATGTACCTACCTATACATGTATATGGCATACATCTATATATAGAGGATAATGGAATGGCCGGGTTAATGCCTAGACAAAATGTCTGCTGTAGAAAAAGCCTAACTGATATGAGCCACTTAGGATATG